CATGACTCGTGGAACCTGTGAAGAAGCTGGTCTCATAGTACTAAATGGTGGTCTAGGAGCAGCTGGGCGGATAGCACCGGGCATATTTTGGAATGCTGCATTTAAAGATTTGAATATACATTAACTGGGAAAATTTACTGAGTAAAAAGTGTTCATCCTGTTTTCTTCAATCTGAAGAGTAGAACTGACCAAATACAACCTTTTTTTTGTTTGTTTTTGAGACAGAGTTTCACTCCTGTTGCCCAGACTGGAGTGCAATGCATGTTCTTGGCTCAATGCAACCTTTGCCTCCCAGGTTCAAGTAATTCTTCTGTCTCAGCACCCCTCGTAGCTGGGATTACAGTCACGCGCCACCATGTCCAGCAAATTTTGTAATTTTAGTAGAGACAGGGTTTCTAAATGTTGGTCAGGCTGTTCTCAAACTCCTGACCTCAGGTGATTTGCCCGCCTTGGCCTCTCAAAGTGCTGGGATTACAGGCATGAGCCAACACACCTAGCCTATATAAACTTTTTTAAGCTGAGTCTTACACCTGCATTTCCCCAGACTCAGGGCATTATTAAGTAAACACATTAATTCATACATGGAGGAGTACTTATAAATATACCTGAAACATAATCTTAAGATTCTAAGTGCTCCCAGCCTGGACAACGTGGTGAAATCCCGTCTCTACAAATACTAAAAAAAATTAGCTGTGTGGTAGCATATGCCTATAGTCCCAGCTACTCAGGAGGCTGAGGCAGGAGAATCACTTGAACCCGGGAGGTAAAGGCTGCAGTAAGCCAAGATCACGCCACTGCACTCCAGCCCGGAAGAGAGAGTGAGACTCTATCTAAAATACAAACTCTTAAGTGCTCTTGGAATATAACACGCTGTTCACAGTACAAGACTTAAAGTACCAGGACTCTGATTCTCATATACAGTTAGATGGCAAGACCTTTAAAACTACTGCCTAACAAAATATAAAACTGGCCAGGTGCCACAGCTCACGCCTGCAATCCCAACACTTTGGGAGGCCAAGATGGGTGGAACACCTGAGATCAGGAGTTTGAGACCAGCCTGGCCAGCACAGTGAAACCCAGTCTCTATTAATAATAAAAAAAGTTAGCTGGGCGTGGTGACAGGCACCTGCAATCCCAGCTATTCCGGAGGCTGAGGCAGGAAGAATCATTTGAACCTGGGAGGTGGAGGCTGCAGTGAGCCAAGATTGAACCACTGCACTACAGCCTGGGCAACAGAGCCAGGATCTGTCTCGGAAAAAAAAAAAAAAAAAAAAAGAAATGAAGAGCTGTACCGATTCCCAAAACTTTTTTTTTTAAAAGGGAAATCAAACTAGTGTAGACATTACTAAGTGAAAGGAATGGTAAAGCATGGTTTTTAAATGCTATAAAAATGAACATCCATAACCACGAATTATGTGAAATGCAACAGTTAACCTAACATTGACAAAGAGCTGATTTGCCCAATGTGTATTTTTAACTCAATCCCTGACCTTAATCAAAAGAAAAAAGACTTACGATGAGGTCTGGCACCCTGAGCAGTCCAGCGAGGACTTGGTCTTAGTTGAGCAATTTGGCTAGGAGGATAGTATGCAGCACGGTTCTGAGTCTGCAGAGGAAAAAAGGCATGAGTTTATTCATTGAAGATAAAAGCAAACAATGCAACAAATTATATGTTCTTTTTCAAAACATTTACCAGGCCTTCACACTCAAGCATTTTTTCCAACTCAATCATAATCACATTTCTTAATGTTTTTTATATTGGAGACTGGGGGGCACACAAAAACACTAGAAATGACCAAATATGAAAAAACCTCCATGGTTCTGGTTCCCTCCTAAAACCTACCTGTGGGATAGCTGCCATGAAGTAACCTGAAGGAGGTGCTGGCTGGTAGGGGTTGATTACAGGGTTGGGCACAGCTCGTACACTTGCCATTCTCTGCATATACTGGTTAGTGAGGTGAGCCTGGCGCTCTTCTTTNGGCTGGTAGGGGTTGATTACAGGGTTGGGCACAGCTCGTACACTTGCCATTCTCTGCATATACTGGTTAGTGAGGTGAGCCTGGCGCTCTTCTTTGCGCTGAGCTAAAGCTACATACAATGGCTTTGTGGCCACAATTCTACCGTTCATTTCTGTAACTGCTTTAGTAGCTTCTTCTGGAGAGGAGAAACATACAAAACCAAACCCTTTGCTGCGACCACCCTCCATCATAACCTATTAAGAGAAAAAAAAAAGTTAATGCAATGGAAGAATGAGGCACGAAAAAGAGCATTACCATTTAGACAATTATAAATCACTGAATCAAATAACTGAACCCTGTTAATGCGTAATCATCTCGTATTCACTGAGTTCATGATTTTTCCTTAATATCCAAATATTAAGTGCAACAACTTTTAAAGATTTTAGACATTGAATTTGATTGGATTTTCAATATTAAAATTTAATTATCTAATAATTCAAGCTGACAAGATGTTTAACTACGCCTTTGAGAAAAAAGTAGTTGAATCTTACAATACCCACATCTTAGTTTTCACATTCAAGAGTAGAGGATCCATAAATATTATGGTATAAACAATACTCAAGAGGAAGCTTCTTCTAAAATTGATTGCAAAGACCTTTAAAATGAGCAATGAAGACTTGCAAAGAACCACTTGCTAGGCCACCAATATATATAAGCATGTTATAAAACTAAATTAACAGTATGCAAGTGGCAGAGGAACAAACGCAATAAACAGAGTCCAGAAATATACCCACACAATTATGGGAATTCGGTGTGTTAAAGTTAACATTTTAAAGTAGTGGGGAAATAAAGAACTTTGGGCTACTCAATATATGACATACTCGGACAAATAAAAAAATTAAGGTAGAACAACTCTTGTATTCACATTACACTGAAAAAACCTTAAATCGCAGGTAGATTCTGAATCTGAACATAAAATGTAGAAACAGAGAGAAAGCCTTTCTAAGACAACAAGAACAAAAAAACCACACATCACAAGTGAAGTCTAAAAAGGGAAAACTCTGAAGAAAATATTTCCAATATCAAACTAATGTTTGGCCTGGTGCAGTGGCTCATGCTTGTAATCTTAGTACTTTTGGGAGGCCGAAGCAGGTGGATCACCTAGAGTGAGAGTTTGAGACTAGCCTGGCCAACATGGCGAAACCCCATCTCTATTAAAAATACAAAAATTAGATGGGCGTGGTGGTGGGCACCTATAATCCCAGCTACTCAGAAGGCTAAGGCAGGAAAATTGCCTGAACCCAAAGGGTGGAGGTTGCAGTGAGCTAAGATCGCACTGCTTCACTTAGAGCGAAACTC